TCCTGCTCATTTTAAGCTTTATCTGCAGAAAACTTGGGATGAAAGAGCCCAAGCTATGTCAAAATCTTCATGCATGATATCTTCATAGAACTTGTTCTTGTTGCTTCTTTTGTCAACTTGTGTAGTTGAATATGAAATTTTATACAGTCTATGTACATGAGATACCAGTCATTTGTAATTCACCTATAGCAGTACAGGTCACTTGCAGTAGATGCAAATATATTCTAGCCTACAAGTTTTAAGTGACTTATATTCTATAAGTAATGCTGAACTTTTTTGCTTTGAAAACAATGAATATGTGACTCTAAAATGATGGTATATTGTTCATAGTAATTGGTTCCTTAAACTTTGCCTTCTACTTATATTGTAACTGTGTGCTTTTTGTTTGTAGGTGAGAAGGGCGTTGGAGAATCAACTGGGAAACCTTTGCATTATAAAGGAACATCCTTTCATCGTATAATTAGAGGTTTTATGGCTCAAGTAAGTTTCCCTTCATGGTTATTCTATTCATGATTTTCACAAAGTGTGACCTAGCACATGAAGCTCCTTCCTAGTGCGATTTGGGAGATGGTAGATGTATGTAACCTTATCCTGTGGAGAGGTTGTTTCTAGAATTTGTAACCTCCTGGTCACAAGGCTGCACAGAAACCTTACTGTGGGGGCAAGGCATGCCCTCTCTATTCATGTTATGCATGAGCTAATTAATAACTATGAAGGAGATTTTTTATTTATTTAATTATTTTATCTCACATGTGTGTACTGTCAAAATGGTCGGTTAGCCAGTTGCACACTTGAACTAGTAAATTCTGTTTGTGAAGTTTTGCAGAAGTGAGGTGAGGGTATTGACAGAATGTTTTGAAGTTTGCCATTGCTTTTTTCCTTATTTCTGGCAAACTTATTTAGTTTCATGAAGTTTGTTTAAAGAGAGAAAATTAGATGCAAAAGATGCTGAAACAGTGTGTCCTGACTATACAAAGGAATCTATTTTATATAGGTTGATTGCAATAAATACAAATAGTCATAGGAGATTTTATTCCTATATACATTACATGATATGACTATAAATCAGATTCTAATAAGATATGCCTATAATTACAAAATCCTAATTAACTTAAATTAAATAAGGAAACAGATCATAGAATATAAAAGAAGAATAAGTCTTAAGAGATGATCTTCTAGGGCACTCTAAAATATTCTAAGATAAAAAGGAAATCATCATTTATTTCTCAGATTTTCTAAGGAAGTTCATTTATTCAATATATGATAATTCACCAATTTTTGTTTTTGTGTCCTAACAGGGTGGCGATTTTTCTAGGGGTAACGGTATGTTTTTTGTTTCTGTTGCTTACTTTATATAATCTTTGACTTCTATATCCTTTACAAAGACTTCTGAGGAACAATATTTGACTGATTTACAGGCACAGGTGGAGAAATTATTTACGGAGGCAAATTTGCAGGTAGTTTACCTCATACCTATTATGAGAGGAGGTTTTTTTTATTCTACATATAAGAAAAGAGAATCAAAGTGTGCTTACATGTAGTTGACTGTTTTCATGATTAATCATTTGACTATACGTGTAAGTACTCCTTCATTGCAGATGAAAATTTCAAGCTAACACATGATGGACCTGGCTTTCTTTCTATGGCTAATAGTGGTCCTAACACAAATGGATCTCAGTTCTTTATTACATTCAAGCGCCAACCTCATCTTGATGGGTATAAAATCTTCGAATATTTTTTGTACAAGTAGTTTGAAGTGCCTTAATTATATTGCTCAATGTTCTGGATTGCAATCTGCAATTCTTGTTCTTGTTGATGGTCCGCAAACATTGTACCATGCTTTTCAGTTGTTTTTGTTTTTTTGCTGTTATTGTCGTCTATACATTTCTTGTTCTTGTTGATGACCCCCAAAATTTTTACAGTGTTATTTTTTTAGTTTCTTTTGATCAGTGTTGTCTATGCATGCTTGTTTTGTTTTTACATTTTCATATGCTCAAAAAGTTGAGTTTGTGATGACCATATTCTTTGCTTTGTTGAAATGGTGAGGGTTTTTATATTAGTTTTCACATGATGTTGCAGGAAGCATGTTGTTTTTGGAAAAGTTGTCAACGGAATGGATATTTTAAAGAAAATTGAGCAGGTGGGAACATCTGATGGTAAACCTACCCAGCCAGTGAAAATTATTGATTGTGGTGAAGTCTCTGAAACAAAAATTCAGCATACTGTTGAGAAGGAGAAAGGTACTTGTGATAGGAGTTAGGGAATATAGATATTGAGGAATTTGTTATAAACCTTGTTACTTCAATTTACTGCCAAATTTAGTTGCTTGTAATATACTAATATATGTACTGCTTCTCATTTTAGGGAAAAGGAGAAAATCAGGGAAATCCCAAACTTCTGATGATAGTTCTGACAAAAAATTAAAGGAAAAAAGAAAAAAATCTTCCAAAGACACGAGGAAGAGAAGGAGAAGATACTCAACATCTGATAGTGATAGTGATAGTTATTCCTCAGATTCTGAGTCAGATTCAGCTTCAGATTCTGAATCAGATTCATCTGATTCTGATTCTAGTTCCTCTAGTTATGGGAAACACCAGAAGAGGAGGAGAAATCAGCGCAAGCATGGGAAGAAGAAGAAAATTGGACGAAAGCAGCTAAAGAGAAGCAAGCATGGTAGAAGTAGAAGATCAAAACATAAGTCTAGACGGTCTCTGATTTTAGCCTACCTTTAGCATCCCCCCCTTTTTTCATAGTAGTATTCTTCCCTGCAGTAAGCTTTAATTGAATTACTTGACCTTTTTCAGGAGTTCTGAGGATTCAAGTGATACGGAAAGTGATAGCTCTAGTGCCAGTAGCTCTGGTGATGAGAAAGCTGATCGTCATCGCTCAGGTCGTAAATCACATCCTGACAATAAAGCACAAAAGAATCTAGGTATAGTATTTATATAATTATTGTGGTATGTTCTTTGCCCTCTCATCTCGCCTTTTCCACAACAAATACTGTAATGTGGTATTTGGGGAAATATTTATAGATATATTTATATTGCGGTCTAAGCTAATAGCTGCTCATGCTCTCAGACACAGGAAAGCAATCTTCTAGCCTTCCTCGACAAAGTCAAACTATTCCTGAACAAATAATGGATCCCAAGGTTAGAAGAACTGTGGATAAACAATCACATGAAGAAGGTGAATTATCGCCAGAAAATGGTGCTTTTGTGAATAACGGGCATGATACTCAAGCTGAATTTAGTAAACCTGCTAAGCAACATGCTAATTCCGATGATTCAAATCACAATAGGTTTTGCCTCTTGCTTTCTCAGCTTCTAATTATTATTCATCTCATGTTAAGTTTGCTTCAATTTAAGTTTCAACACCATCCTGGTATTTAAATACATCTCCAGTTGTGCTAAGTTTGTGTGACATTTTGTTTATCCAGAGGTGCAAGTCCTGGAAGAAGTCCTACCAGGGATTCTGGTGAGCTAAAGCAAGGACATCCTCTGTCATTGGCCAGTCCTGGCCATAAAGCATCTGAACCTGCTGTGCCCCAACATGGTCAAGGGTTTTCAAAAAGCCCTTCACCAAATGGCATGCCTAAGCGTATTAAAAAAGGACGTGGCTTTACTGAGCGTTATGCCTTCGCACGCAGATATCGAACTCCATCTCCAGAGCGGTCTCCTCGTACATATCGTTATGGTGATAGAAATATAAGAAGGAACTTCGATAATAGGTATGCCTAATTATCTACACAATTTTGTCACACTGGATTGTTTAAAAAATGTAGGATATTCTTCTGACTTGTTATATATGTTTGAAGAAACACAAGCTACAGAAGTTATTCTGAGCGCTCTCCACCACGGCGTTTTCGAAGCCCACCAGGGGGAAGGAGTCGTCAAAGGTTCTTCCAGCCTCTAGTTTGTTTGAATCTGTTATGTAGTTAGACCTTGATACTTCTCCTTCCATGCATAAATTGATAATTTTTTTTTAATTTTATATAATGATATTTGTTTGTTTATTTACATGCTGTGACATGATAAATATTTCACATGTAAAATAAATTTACCCTGAATTTAAACTGCATTTTTTTGTGTGCTTTTAGTTCTTTGTTATAGTATTTTTATTTTTTGTGTATGCTTGTAGTTACCTTTGTCACTGTCTCATGTAATTCTGTAATTTACTTTCTAATATAATTAAGGGCCCATTTGTTTAAGGTTTTTCTTTAAAGTGATCCTGTAATACTCTATTGTTAGGATTTTTTTTAATAAGCTGCTTTTTTATTTTTATTTTTTTTTATGAGAACACTGTAATAACCTTTTTCTTTCAGGTTCTTCCTTCCTGTGGAAAAACATGCATAATTACTATGAATTTATAAAATATTTTTTAATTGATAATAAAAAATTCTTGAAAAGAAGACTCGAGCAAAGAGCCCTAAATCTTGGGCATATCACTTTGCGTTGTTTTTTCAGAATTTAGTACTAAAAACTGGAAAAGGAAAATGCATACATGATCTCAATTTCTTATCCTTATTGTTTTTAGATACGTGAGCAGAAGAAGTCGGAGTAGGAGCATCTCCCGGAGTCCAGTGCGTGGGCGTTTTAGAGATCGTGGGCGGAGCCGGAGCCGGAGTCCAAGACGCAGTCTTAGTCCAGAGGACAGGCGGCCTCCCATAAGTGACAGATTAAAATCCCGACTTGGCCCAAGGAGTGATCAACGACCGGCAGACAGGGGTCGGTCAAGGTCCAAGTCTAGGAGTTCTGGCTCCAGATCCCCTGATGCTACCCCACCAAAACGATATGATAAAAGGACTTCCGTATCTCGTAGCAGGTCTAGATCCAGCTCTTCATCCGGTCAAAAGGGTTTAGTTTCTTACGGAGATGCTAGTCCTGATTCTGGGGCTAGGTAGGTATAATTATGCTCACTAAATTCCAACTCTCAAATCTCAGCAGGACCTGAAATTGCTATACATTCTATAACCAATCTCAAGAAGAGTTATGTTGGGAATTTTGTCTGTTTATTTATTCCGATATCCTTATAGTGGACTTCTGATATTGGTCCTGAATTCAGTCAGTCAAGTATTATTGTGCATTAGCTTAACAACGAGCTTTTTATGTTAGTTCAAGAAAGTTATCGGTGCCAAAAATTGAATGATGCCGTCTTAAATTGGATCTGGCGTTTGTGCTCATAAATATTCTTGTTTGTAGTACATTTTTTTTCTTGGAATCTCATCGTAGCTACCCAAAAAAAAGGACAAACCATTTTTATTTATTTATTTAATTCTAGTATTATCAGGTTTATTCTAAAGAAATATTTATATTAATTAAAATGTATAAATAATTCAAAAAATCTTTTAAGAAAATTATCATATATTAATTGATTACCGGCTAAGTATGTTTATACGTGCTAGTTTTACAGCAGTCTACGGTCACAGATTATTGAAGTCTGTTTAAGTTGCTCAATTGAAACCACCATTCTCTTTTTATAAACTGCTTCTAAAATCCTTTCTTAAACCATCCAAATTTGCCAGCGTGACTTAGCTTAGCTATGGAATGCAAAGTGTGCGTTTGAGATGTAGGTCACGGGGTTTCTGACAGGTTGAGACGGTTGGGTACTGCGTGGTCAGCGCAAGCTTAGATGGAAACTTCCTTAGTGGACTCATGGTAGATAATGGAGTTTTATGGTTGAAGATTCTGCGGTTGTGTTGTCATGGGTTACGGTCATAGTAGAGCAAGCGATTTAAGTGAGTCTTATTTTAATCATTCTCAACTTGTGCTTCAACTCAATTTTTGGAATTGATAGTTTGGTATTTAAAGTAAGGTATACTTTTTTACTATATTGTAGCTTCACTCATTCTCAACTTAATTATTGCTTCTTCTTCTTCTTTTTTTTTTTTTTTTAATCTAAATTCCCTTAAGTTTTAAGTTAAAGTAAAAACATCAAAAATTATTATTTTATGTAATATAACTACAATTTTGGCTTTTCAATAAGTGTTTTAACCGTTATTATGGTATTCCACATTTATTTTTTGTAATTTAGTATCTTGTTCTGTCTAAATTACATCAATTTAATGTATTGTGTAGTGAGTTGTTTAAGGTGATTTTGATTGTAAAAATACTAAATTAATCGTATTTAGATATTGTTTGGATAAAGAAATAATAAAAGTAAAATGAATACAACTTTTTTTTATAAATTAAATTTGTGAACCTTAATTTTTAGAGAAATTAGATGAGTTGATCAGATAACTTTTATTAAAGATGAGGTGTACATATTTATTTTAACTTAAAAAAGTTAGTTTGGGTTATCCCTTTAATTTTTGTATGCATCTACAAGCTGCCACCTAGAAAATAGAAATATTAGTGAGTGGTCATAATAAATTTGCTGTTTAACTTTTCTTTAAAAATTTCTCTTCTACGCTTCATACTACCATTCATCGTATGGTTACGTGTTCTATTTTAAACTAACACTTAAACTATTGTCTTTAATTATGACTTATTATTTATTAATCTACCATTATCGAAAAAAAAAACAATAATCAATAAAAAAAAATATACATTTTCCGATGTTTGTTTCGCTTTTATTGACTGCATGGATTACTTGATGATTGCTAATTTCATGATAAGCAACAACAAATTGGAGGCAATTTACTATTATTGTATTATTAGGTAGTCTTCTCCTTGCACTGTAAGCAGATACCCCCACTTTGCAAGCTCTATTCTACATATCCCACATGTCTAATTTCCCATACTCTCCATGTCAATTACATCACTCTGATGCTATGCAACCCATTGCCTGTCCACTATTCAGGCAACGTAGACATCACCATCCTGTTACTAGTCAAATATATTTTACTTCCTATTTTAACGTCTCCAAAAAATTAATAATGATGTTTAGTGTCCTATACACACGTATATTTATTCTTATGAGTTCAGAATAAGAACCCTCGCTCTATTTTCTCTTCATGCAGCACTTGGCTTTTCTCAAATCAAATATCTTTTATTTTTATTTTTAGATATTATTACTTAAATTTATAACTTATTAAATGCGTATTTCGCTGACTCTAATCCGGATCATACAAATAAATAAAACTTTGGCCTACGTATGCTTTTATTTATAAATTTGAAAACGGAAAAAAAAATGTTTGAAATTAAGTAATAAAATGATGAAAATGTACTTGCAAATGATTGGTTGAAAGTGCGTTGGAGCACTTGGTTGTTTTCTTAATGAGAGAAACTATGGCTGATGAGTCTCAGCTTTGGCAGCATACAGAATGTGGGAGACAATCTTGTTCACCTGAAACCCTACAACAAATCTTCAGTCAAACCACTTCTTCCCCTAAAAGGAAACTATATATTTGGTTTTCAATTCACAAATAGAGGAAAGGATACTCATGAGGTCATATATATATTTCCATTAGTCATTACATACTAAAGAAATTTCTAAGGATCACTGTTGGTTTGAATACATTGCTGAAGTCACATTCAAGGGGGAAAGGTAATTCCCACTTCGAAAAAGAATTGAATCTTAGCCTGTTGTTAATTTGTCTGAATTTTCAAGTCATAATCCAATCTTCTTTTTTGGAAGAAGGAAGGGAGAGTTATTCATTTTGGAAGTTGTCACTAATATTTCATATTTAATTTATTCTCTTGTGCATGACTCATTTCTCATATTGTATGGGTACACAGATGATTGATATTGTTAATATATATCTATCGTTATCCATAAGTGTGTGTGTGATGTAACATGTTTGGATCCTCTCGTGCTTCTCTAGCACGCAAAATTTAAAATAAGAGCTATAAAAAAACGGAACACAAAATAAATGATGAAGAAATAAAAAGAAAGTAAAGATATAGATGATATATACAAAGAAGACTGGAGAGGGATCAGTAACATGTAACATTATTTTATTTATTGTTTAATATAATATAAATAGTAGCTCAGTTTTAATAGACATACACCCATTATCTAACATTGTTAAATCAGATATTCAAATCAAAATTTGGCTAGTGCACACCAAAAAAACTGCTTATCATCCAGGGAAGAAAAAAGTACATTCAAATAACGTAACTGATAATGGTGTATAGAGTGATGTTCTCTTCTTAAATCAGTCCTTCTATATTCCATTCCCTCTGCATTAACTACTGAGGCAGTCTGTTCCATGGTTTTTATATGCCTTGCCTGCATAATACATAAACATACAATGTTAGTTACATTCCACTGTTTGAAACAAGTTATAATCTTTTTACTTATGCAGTTTGGACATTTTTTAAGTTTCTTAAATAACCTTAACACTTGGCAGACCAAAAATAGAATTGGTAGTCTCCATAATAACATGATCATGAATAAATGCGATCAATCTTGCAATGAAATAATTACATAGTTTATAGCATGGTTGCTTCAGTGCTGGATCATCAATTTGTGCTGGAGGATCCTGTCCAAATATCATCTCACAACTCATGTCATCAAAATCTGCAAATCAAAAGATAAATAAAACAATCAGATTGCACATATCCATTTTCAGGAGACGTTAGTGGGATTTGTTTAATCATTTAGTTGTAGGAATTTCCCTTGTCCAATACGAGGTCCTGTACATTTCACCAACTAATTCACATATACATACAGAAATCACTATCATTAATTTAATGTTGACATTGCCATCATGATATACAATTTCAATGCTTTTGGTTAACAGATGGTGGGTTCATGAGAATCAAGATGTTATTCATAGGAAATAACACTATCGATAATGAACACTGAAGTCTGACTTATGGTTATTATTATATATATATTTAGGTATAATTCTTTGTAAGTCACATGCAATACATATTTCATTTATCTGTATTCTGGTTTTCTCAAAAGCCTCAGTGTGTTGATTTGCAATTTAATTTGCATCTGAGTGGTATGTGCATGGGGTCCTCCATTGAAATGATGAGTCTGACCACCACATTCTAGTGGAAGCTTGTAGAGGCCATCATACTCTTTCAAGTATGAAATCTATTTCTTTTTGTTCATATTTTTTGATGGCCTTACCAAAAAAAGAGATACTTTAGATATATTTTTCTTCAGCAATGTCCTTTTCCATTTAGTTTTTTTTCTCTCTCTCTCTCTTTTTTATTTTTATTTTTTATTTTTTATTATAGTAAAGCAGGTGACATTTTGCCAACATCTGAAATACACCCTGCTTTAATCAAGAAATTCATTTCATGTAAAAGAATATAATAAATCATCTCAAAATAGGGAAAATACTATTATATAATACAAAACCAACAAGTCCATGCTGTTGGTCAATTTTTTATACGATATGCAACTGAGTTTTTAAATTTATAAAAAAAATGAGTTGATGATAGTCAACTACATGTCACATTGAAATTGATTAGCCAAAATATGTGATTCTGAAGTATATATAATAATTTCTCCTCAAAATGTGTCTCCATGATAATTTCAAATACAATTAAATTCTGCAGCAGAAACTGGTTGAAACATGAAAATGAAGTGAAATAAATTGGAGGGTCAAAAGTAGAACTGTGCTGATGCAATGCAATAATAATAGTATGGTTAGTGAGGATACTTACTGGGGACCATGTTGACTGACATACCAAGAGAGTCCTTTATAAACTTCTGAGATGGCATTTTGCAGAGATTAATACACATCCCTACACAATTTGTCTCCTCTAAAAACCTGCACATCTTAATTGTTATTTATAACTAAATTTAAAAGAGGAAAGAGGAAGAGAGAAAGGGAAATATAGATTGAAATGATAGATATACTGAGAATACTAGCTAACAAGTGCTCAACAATACTAGTTAAAAAATTAATAATATTAAAAATTATGCTTGAAAAAACATTTTACTTTGATTCATTAATTAGTAGTATTGGTTAGTATTCTCCATATAATAATCATGATTTTGGTATTGAAAAAAAAAGGGACAATGATGATATATGGGAATAGAGAATAGAAGCTCAATCATATTAGTAGATTGTGCGTCGCCAGAATGTGGCTTAGGTGGGTGAATTGGGGACCATTTTCTGTTAAACATGTAAAGAATATATAAATGAAAAAATAAAATAAAATAAAATAAAATAACCTGCATTTTTTGACGTAGACTATATTTTTTTCCCTTCGCCCGTTGACCTCCGATTCTCTCACCTATATCCACGGTGAAATTAATTAGGTTAATCCTTTTAAATGATTTTTTTAATCGTAGGTCGGAAAGTAAAAGGGTATCCCCATACTATGATCAAGTAGGTTATTTATTAATCTATAGTTTTTATTTTATGTTAAGATCACTGCTATGTTATCATATTCAATTCAATTCTAGATCAGAGTCAAATCAGATAGGATATCATTACATACACGAAAGCTCTTTCTCTAAAATTTAATACAACTAGATATTTAAGAAATCGGACTGAAAACTTAGTTAAATTAAAACGGGCTTTCACTAATTGATTTACGGGTTAATTAAATTCAAATTCAACTTTATGTACTTTTCAAAAAATTTAAACAGTTTTATGATTTAAATTATACATGGATTTTATTTTGGGTTTTAAACATATATATGAATGCGAATATTTTGATAACAATTGATAAAATAAATTAAAATCTTATTTGTAATTCTAAAACATGTAGCTTTATTTATTTTTGGATTATCTCGATGATCAAGATGTATTATCCAAGAAATTTTTGTAGGAAATTACTTTTTGTAATCAACTTAATTTTTTTATCTAGAATAATTCACCATTTTTCTGATTAAGAATTTGTATTGCACATGAAATCTAATAATGAATGATGATGATTAAGTATTAAAATATGATAAAATTCTTATAAAATCACGTAATTTTGAGGTCCAAAAATATAAAATAATTAAATATAAAGTTTTCATTCTAAGACAAAGATAGATAAAATACTTTTTTCAATACTCTAACTTTAGACAAGTTACTACGTTATCTTTGGTGTATTTTTTAGACCGAAACAATTTAAATATATTTTAGATAAAATAAAGGTTTTTTTTTATAAAAAAAATAATAGTTCAATTCAAACTAATTTTTTCCAACAAATTTCACCGATTAATTTGGCCGAAACTTGATCGATTCTAAAATTAATAAGATTTCTGGAGACCAGTCGGTATATCAATTCTGAATTAGAGCAATTGAATATGATGATAAGTTTGAATATATATTCTAATATGGAAAACATTAATGTAAATGACGTTGATAATTTCATCCTAGTCAAGCTAATTGTCCCTTTCAGTTTTTAATTAAGATTTTGTATTACAATCTATTCAAAGGTAGAGAATATCATATAATACATATCAACTTTGAATCACTCGGGATGTCTCTATTAGTGCTCATGAAATCATGAGTTATTTCTTGTTAGATGCTTGAAAATATTTTTAACCATTTTGTGTTTTATTAAAGGTTGCACATGTGGTGTATGGTGATCCATAGAGTGTGAGTGTAGAGTATCAGCAAATGATTCTTATCCCTTGGTAGTTAATATCCATTTTCAATGATCTCTCAAGATGGTTGCTAATGAAACAGAAATAGGGCACCATGTGAGGATGACATTATGATGAGCTAAGTGTGGATGGCTTAACAGATAACACTGCTCCAAACTACGTAAGAGGATATATAATTAATTTCCTTTTCATAACTATTAACTAGGAAGGAGATAAAAAGGGGGGAAAAAATAAAATAAAATAAAATAAAAAGCATGCAGTGCAAGTACCCTTTCTAATTAATATCGCTTTTCTGTTATATGGGATGGGGAATCTCTTGCATTTTTATTTTCTAATGTTGTATAAGGTAGGGACAGGATCTTGTCCAAGTATGCTTGCCTTATTTACCGACTAGCCAAGTTACAATTTATTTTCAATATTCCAATCATTTTCAATAATCATTTGATTCTGTCAACACAAACACACCAGTCTTGAGTGGACTCCATTTGGTATCACTACACTCGTCAGTCACCACCATACCAAGGCTACTATAAATTTCAGTCTTGTCACTAGTGGAAGCGATATACCATGTTTGTATTCGCCATCAAAAATCTAAATCCATTTTATAGTATAAGTATGCTATCAAACCAACCATGATACTGTAATTTACCCTTTCTTTAAAAATAAATATTTCCACACTTTATAATGACTTTTTTTTTTTAAGTAAAAATACCATGTATCACATACTACAAGATATAATGATTTTATAATTTTATTTAAGTCGAGTAATATTATTATAAAAAAATAAAATATTTTTTCAAAATTTTAATACAATTGCATATTCAAGTTATTAAGTTATAAAAATCTCACATAACTTAAAGTACGGTTTTGGTATCTTTTTACAATAAAAAAAAACGACTAATGTGTTTTTTTTATCATCTTGTATATCATAAAGTGAAAGAGTAGATATGAAAGACTAAAATAGAAAATAATATTTAAACACTTAAAATGTTAGCATTAAACATATGGTGAGAGGGAGATAAAAGAAAAATATAAGTATTACAAGTCATACTATATGAGAAGAAGAGTGATTAAAAAAAGGGTGAATGTTGGTAGGTATTTGAAAAAATTGAATATCCGAAAATTATTGTTGTTTTAAAATTGAATAAAACAGAATTTTGATTTCTCATTTTTATTTTAGATTTTAGTTTAGTCTCTTAAGTTTAAAAAGTATCACTTTGATCTATTAAATTGTCTTTATTAATCAAATTGGTCCTTTTATTAATTTTCTGCATTCATAGTGTTAATTTTGATTTGTGTGTCATGTAACATTAAATTGTTCAAATGAGTGTGACAAATTGACATAATGACCAACTTATTCTAATAGAAATATTTTAAGAAATAAAATGAAACTTTTTTAACTTAACAAACTAAATTGAAACCATAAATAAAAATAAAAGACAAAATTCTATTTTAGCATTTAAAATTTAAGATCAAATAAATAAATTTTTTTTCTTTGTAATATCATTGTTTTTACACTTAATTTTTCAATACCTTTTTTCACTGGATCGACTTCTTTTAAAATAAAGTAATACTTCCAATTATAACTTCATATTTAAGTTAGAGATCAAACTCTAATTCTCGATTAAAGAACACAAATATCAAACAATTCGTATTGACTTTTTGATCAAATACTTCCTTTATACCTTATTTACTTCTCCTTTTTCTTCCAATTAAACAAATAAATAATTTTTTTATTTATAAAAGATTCTCATGTGAGAGTACAAAATATAAACACAAAATCCTTAGTTTATACAAATTATGAGTATGTTTAAATATAAGTTAAAAATGTTTTTGAGAGTTTTTCTACTCTTTATTTTTAGTAGAGAAACTCTGAAAAACACTTCTAAACTTGTATTTAGATAGAATGTATAAAAATTCTAACTTCTAAGAAAAAGAAAATATAAGGTAAAATTTTTTTACATGTTATATATTTAACTTTTTTAATTCATAAAAATAATATTTATTACACAGTATATAAAGATTAATCAGAGATATATAGTGATGAATGATGCCCTAGTAATTTTTCAAAGGAAAAAAGGTTATGTTTGAATTGTTTACCTCGGAAGGTCCGACTAACCAAGCAAAGAACAAAGTCGTGAAAACGGCAAAATATTCCCTTGAGAGTTTAGATGGTCGTAGTATTGTCTTTATCTGCCATTCTCATATACAGCAAACAACATATTCATCGTTGAAAATCACAATGCTCAAGCAATAAAATATAAAACTAAAGCACAAAAAAGAATTTGAACAAGCCATTCGGCACAAAATAGCAGGGATCTAATAAAATTACAGAGCAAAGAATAACTCCCAAAATCTCCTTCCCATTTAACTCGAAAAATACCATTTTGATTTCTTTAAACTTCAAAATTCCTTAAAATGGAAGAAGCAAAACATGAAAACAAACCCAAGAATGTTTACAGTCTACTACCCAAGCCGAAATTTTATGTTAACTTTTTCTATAATTCCATAATACCAAATTAATGAGAAAATTTCTGATATCTTAGTTATACTTTACGTCTCAAAATTACAAACTATATTTATTTCCCTGATTCATTATAATCATTTGCTTTCCTAGTTACTATAATTAGGACAACATATAATGTCAGTAAATAATGAAAACAAATCATTATCATATAATTAGTCATTTCAAGAATAGAGGTACAATTAAAACACAATCACAACTAACACAAGACAAGACAGGAAATGAAAATTGTTATAGCATGAGTAATGAACTCACGAATGAAAGTATGGGCTTTGGGAAGGCTTTGTGAAGAGCTTGAATGACAACCTCTTGCTGCTGAATAGGGTCAAAGTTGTGTTTAGCCACCGTAGCTGCCTCAACCAAGCTCTCAAACCCACTCTTATTGTTGCTGAGTCCTGCAAAGGAATCAAAAGACCATAATAAAACTTTCTCCTTCAAATAAACTACAACAAAGTGATCACAAAAGGGTATGAACCTGTGGCTGCTTGAACACTTTTTGATAGATGGTTTATTGCTAAGCGATCAAACAAGTTATCGTTGTAGGCATTAGTTTTTGTTTTTGCAGTAACGTGGTCTGAAGGTGTGGTTCTTAGCATTGCAACGACAGAAGGATGTTGTGGTTCGCGTTTGATGGGGTTCAAGTGAGTTGAACATAGTGGTGAACCCTTGTTGAGCCTAAAAGAATTTGCATCCATGTGTGAATATTAAGTGAGAGAAATAAGGAATGGTAACAGGGGAAGAAGTGAGAGGCACATATAAGAAAGAGTATGAAAATGGGATGTTCACACAAAGTTTGTGCTCGAGATTCCGGGCTTGGCAGTTGGTAAGGATATTAGATGCTTTCTTGTGTCGGCTTACGGGCTATGTACTATACACAAAACATCCTCTAATATTAAATTTGTTATGACACTCTGAGAATCACACTTATTCGATGTTAATGAAATGAGAGATAAACACAAAACTTCACGTGATAGAATCATGTCAAATTTTAATGAAAAAATATATTTGGACAACCAAGATATTATTAGACATCTAATGAGATAAAAGAAAGAAAAATAAGACAGGTAATAAAATGTGATAAAAAAAAAACTGAAAAGTGCTTAAAAATATGGGTCATCAAAATGATTGCTCAATTTTAATGTTGTTAAATATGTTTTAGTTTAGAGTAAACAAATACATAATTCATTCTTAATCTCTAACAGAAGCTTAGTGATATGAATTGAAATAATATGTACAAAATTATGTTTTAACATATAATTTATACTCTTTAAAAAAAAAAACTTGTATCTAATTATTACTTTTTAAATAAAATATTCCAAAACACAATAATTTTTTTACACCGATAATAATAACAATAATAGTTAGTTAAAATAAGTCCCCTGAATAGTTTTTATAAAAAATAAAGAATTGCTAATAAAGTATTAAAAGAATCTTTGAAAAAGTCAACAATATTTTTAAAAATATATATCATATTTTGTGTTACCAATGAATATTCTTCGTAATTTTTAATAACATATAACGAAGACACTCACTAATTCACAATACCCCTCAATTTTTTACTCAAAATAAGTACACCAAACTGTCCCCAAAGATAAAATTTTAATTTGTGCACACCTTGTGACCAAACCACAGCACCGAAAAGTGGAACCCTGTGTCTTACAAGTAAACTTGTTCGGCATTTGGCACGACAGTCAGTATGCGAAGAACATCTGAACTTTGATAGTTAAATTACATTGCAAAGATTAATCAGAATATAAGAAGCCAATATGAGTGAGCCAAATAAGCAGTAAAAAGAACCAAAATCACACAGCGAGACTAAAACAAAGAACTCATAAAATCCAACAGCATTACAATTCCAGGAGTAGCAGCACAACATGCAAATAAAAGTAGCGGATAGAATGACCATTTACACACTAACATATAACACCTGTTCTTGAGAAACATAAAAGGTCTACACTAGACTACATGATGATAAAGAGTCACATAAAGGAAAAGCAAAGAGGCCATTCATTTTCACTCTTTAGCAGCTTTGTTGATCAAGGACTTGTGAATGTGGGGGATAACACCACCACCAGCAATGGTCCCTTTGATGAGGGTGTCCAGCTCTTCATCTCCCCTGATAGCGAGTTGCAAGTGCCTCGGTGTGATCCTCTTCACCTTCAGATCTTTGCTCGCATTCCCAGCAAGTTCAAGAACCTCAGCGGTGAGATATTCCAGAATTGAAGCCAAATACACTGCAGCAGTGGCTCCCACACGCCCATTGGCTTGAACCCTCTGCTTCAACTGCCTGTGGATTCGACCCACTGGAAACTACAACCAACAAAACAGAACCTAAATAATCAAATCTATTCATCAACCAAATCCAACAAAACCTACCAGGTCGACCTAGTGATAAGAGATCCAAGTAATATTACATGAAATCCTAGATCTAAATTTTATTGTGGTACACAAAAAATTCCAACAACCCAAAAACATCTTCATCGTTCTAAAGAGTTCCATCCTTGTAAATTTTGAGACAAGCCGGGCATCTAAAGGGCAAATCCTTTCAAAATATTCAAATTTGAGACTTAATATATACTTGAACTATTAGGACTCGGTAAAAAAAATTATTCTTTTGAGTTTTCTCAGGAAATTGACCAAAAAAAAATGATTTCTCAGGAAAAGAGGGGGGGTGTTAATTTACGTGATGAGGTACAATTCCGACCGATTACTATAACCGACGGAGAGAATTCGAAGTAAAAACCACAAAAAGGTAGTTGCTTTAGGTTGAGATTAGAACGCGGAATCCGGAACAAGGTTCTAGGACGACGACAAGAACACAAATTGCATGGAACATATGAGAAACATGAAAAGGTAGCGAAAATGGGTTGAATTGATGATGTTTAAGGTTGAAAAGCAGGGCAATTGAGGAGGAAGAAGGAAATATGAGAAAAAGGGTAGGTGGGTTACCTGGATCCCAGCACGGGATGAACGAGAGACAGGCCTTTTCTTATCCTTGTCCTTGTCCTTGTTGGCTGTCGTGGTTTTCCCAGCCACAAGCCCCTTCCCTCCCTTTCCCGCCATCGACACAGAGAGTGAGAGAGAAACCTAAAACCCAAATGCAATGAAATTGATGAATAGTAGACGTGGATGTGAGCGTTATATATCTTAAGCACTTTTTAAATTCCCACTTCTCAAACCAAAGCGCGCTCGCTCGCGTGGGAATTTCCATTTCAAATGACTTTTCACTTTTCTTTTGCGCGGCCCTTTTCCTCACTCCAAAACTATCCCGGCCCATTAAAGGCGGCCCATCAGCCGAGACAGGCCCAAATGTAGGATAAGATTTCACTAGCGGAATCTGAAACGCAAAACTGTATTCATGGCAGCCAGTGGCGGTTGCAGCTTCCTAACATTATCGTGTGCAGGTGCGGTGCCAAATCAACATGCGTCCCACCCAACAACGTTGTTCGGAGTTTCCCAATTCCACCAGAGCAAGATAAAACCACCGCGTAGGTTAGTGGTGGTGGCAGTGACTCAAGGCTCTACCGAATCAAGCAAGTCCGATGAAAAAATCCCTTCTTGGGCCAAACCGGACTCCAATGAACCACCGCCGTGGGCCCGGGATGAGCCCAATAACAAGAACTCGCAACAAGGATTTGAAATCCCGTTCTATGCTTATTTGCTTGCCTCTGCTATCACCGCAATCGCCGCTGTAATAAAAATATTGCTTTTCTTTTTAATTAATTAATTATTTATTTATTTCCTACTTTTCAGTCTTATTTATATGTATATCTTTTGGTAGCACAGGTTGGTTCCATTTTCGAATATGTGAACCAAAGACCCGTCTTCGGAGTCTTGTCCTCTGACAGCGTGTTTTATGCTCCGTTGCTTGGCTTTTTTGTCTTCACCGGCATTCCCTCCTCGGTAATTAATAATTCATACAATCCATTAATAGTAATAGAAACTCTTTGATTGATGCCTTCTTAATGTTTAATTCAGGCTTTCCTGTGGTTCAAGTCTGTTCAAGCAGCTAACAAGGAAGCAGAGGAACAGGACAAGAGGGATGGCTATTCATAGGGTGCTAGTGTTTCTGCAACCACAACTTTTGCTTCTGTGTTCAACACAATGCCACCATGTTATGTTATTGTAAGTTACATGAGGAAATTCCACATAATGTCATGTTGTATTGTATGTCACAATTGAGTGTGAATATGAATATTCATGTTGTGTATGAATACAGAGAGTAGTACGATAGCATATTTATTATTTAATATCATGCCATTGCATAGTCTGCGTAATTTCTGTCAACTGAAAATGGTATATGCTGCTGTTGTCTTGTAAATCTCCTGAAAATGCTTGATTTTCCCCTCTATCATGACAGTTCCAATTCCAAGTAAAGGGTTACTTTCATATCTGCCCAAGAAGGTGGATCAGAATTTCGCAACTCTTATGTGGAAAAAGAGTCTGTAAATATTTAACCCCAACCCTTATAAATGCAACTCAATTTTGTGTCAGCAATGTTTGAAGTTTTCATGTAAACTATACACACCTCATATCACTCGCTTATATTACTAGGTAACTCAAATTATTTATCCCACATGAAAATTACTCTAAAGAATGATGTCATCTTATTTTTTATCATTAATATTTTTTTAATGATGTTTATACACACCATTTTTATGACTTTCTTGTCCACGATACTAATGGACGTATGTTTGCGTGGTGTGGTATATCTTTTCTTATTTTCGAAAAAAAAAAATGTATCCACTGAGTCCAACATCTCTACCATGGTATTACTATTACCATTTATTTTGACATGTTCTAGCTCCATATTTTCCTACAATTTTCTTAAAATATCGATTGCCTTCCTTGCTGAATTTTAATTACGCTGTAGTTGGGGAAAGTGTATCGGCATATCTTTGGTTCATATTTTTCGTGCAGTAATTAAATGTTTATTTGGGTTTTCTAGCCAACAAAGAAGCTTTTGGAGTCGCTATTGTTTGGCTGCAGAAATGTGAGGAAAAAAAATGGGATTATCAGTTGTTGAAATAACAGTGAAAGAGAGAATTAGGGAAAAATATTGAGGCAGTCAAAAAAGTATTTTCACCTAGGACGCCAAGAAAATGCTAAACAGCCAATGAAATAAGAGCCTTTGGTTATTTTGCCTACATCCCCTTATAACTTGCCCAACGAGTAGGTTTATAATATTGTGCATCTTTTTCTTTTTTTTTTTGTTAGGTGAAGGAAATATATTAAAAAGACTAGGGGAAATTATCCGAAAAGAACATTAAATTTCTACCCACGTAAGCTTGGAACTAAGACCAAGATTGAATCTTAATTAAATTCAACAAATAACTCAAGTCAAAAGAGTTATTAATACATATTATTTTATTTCACAACAACCACGTATACTGGAATATCGTGGGCCACAAAATATATCAAATATACATGTTTGGTTTAAGAAAAAATAAATAACTAAGGAAGGGAGAAATAGAAGGGAAAAACTGGGGGAAAAAAAATTTGAAATCAATTGTTTCAAATTTTTCAATCGATAAAATATTTTCTTTCAAAAACAATGGATTGTCACTTATAAAAATCATGACAATTGGTTATCAACCACCAGCAATCGATTATTTTTTATGTAAAAAAAATCATTGCGGTATTTTTATAATCAGTATTTTAGCTCATGTAACATATTAAATGCTTATTATATATAATTAAAATTTATAATAAATTATATATAATATTTAAATATTTAAAATTATATAAATAAATATTTGTAAACATATGATTATAAATTTTTTTATGTCTTTACTTATAACTAATATTTTAGTATGTGTAATGCACATACATGTTTATTATTGTGATATAATTAAACTTTATAATAAATCATATATAAAAAATATCATATTTGAATATATTTATTATATTTAAAATAAGAATAAATAAATATTTGTAAACATATAAATTATATTTAAATTTATGATAAATATTTTATATTTTGACACAATATTATTTTTAAATATAGATAATTTTAAAGATATTAAAATTTATTTTATAAAAAAATATAATCATTAAAATTTGAATTGAATCAAAAATTAAAATAATTTTTTAAAAAAATTTCCATATAATCATTTGTATTTAATATATAGATGAATATTTTGTAGAAAAATAAAAAGGTGTAGAACCACTTCTTTTTATTTATTTACTCTTGTATTTCTTAACAATCTAACACATTAATTTCTATTTTCTTTCTCGTCTTTATTTTTTTCCCAATTTCTTACCTACCAGATGGACTTGTGAAGATAAAAGATAAGAAAGAAAAAAAAAATATACGATTACAATTCTTTTGTTAGTTGTTTAGAAAAAGAACAGTGCGTTGCATATACATCGGTCACCACATGTTGTCTGAAGATTGACAACTTAGAAGAAACTTGTCCACAATCATGCTTCCACCTTGACAGGCAAAGTACCTTTCAAAAAAATATATCTATTACATATAATAAAAAGTTCAGCTATTACATTTCCCGCTCAAACCAAAACCTTTTTTTTTTTTTCTAATTTATATTATAATATTTTAAAAAAATTTGTTATAGTATAAATAATAATAAAAAACTAATATCATAAATTTTATAATTATTATTGATTTTATTCATTTTAAGTCCGTTTTAAAGTTATAGTAATCTTTTCATTTATAAATGTTATTACATATCTATATTAATATTATAAATAACTTTATAATATTATTTTATTTTTATTAACAAGAGACCTAAGCAACGTAAGTGATAATATATAATAACTAATATTTCACTATTATAATAAGAACAACAAAATAATTGTTTTATATTTAAAATTAAAAAATTATTTTATAACATCATCATATTTAAAATATGTAGTTCTACTATAATTAAAAATAAATAATTTGAAATTTATTATGATCTTATACCATGTTAATTTTATTTATATTTAAAAATTAATATATATATATATATATATATATAATTTATCAATAGATATCTTAAAACTATGATGTTGTTTATCATGTTTCTAAAAAAAAGATTAAAAAGAAGATAAAATGAGTCTTGAGCATGAAAAATAATAATATATCAATAATTAAATATTTTTTATTATTATAATAAAAATAGCATAATAATTATTTCAAATTATAGATCACAAAATGGGTTAGACTCAACGGACCAACTCATATAATCTTATTCTTATTTTAAACATCTTTTATTTCTTATTTTAATATATATATATATATATATATATATATTATAAATAAAATAGTTTTTTAATTTAAATAAATATTTTTTTATATTAATTTCTTAAAACAATTTTGAAATATAATAAATTGTTTTAAAAGTGTGAGTATGATCTTAATTCTATTTTTAAAATATTTTATTTGATACGATATTGAAAGAAAACTTATTAATTAGTAAAAATAAAATAATATCATTAAATTTTAAATAATTATTTATAACGACATGTCAAGTCATTACACTTTACAACTTAGCAACTAGTAGTAAAAAACATAAATAATATAATCTAAGTGCAAACAAATCTTAAATATGCACACAATAATATATGTATAGAAAATAATCCTTTGAAAACATAAATGTTCCTCAAAAAAACTACATTACAATCTTATATATACATACATATATACACACAATAATCTAAAATTGAAATTATAAACCTAGGTTATTAGTTAAGTTACTATTAAAGACTAACTACACCAAGGTAGTTTAAGCAATGATACCATCCTTTAGCATAACTACAAATAATAATATCCATACTCGTTATATAAATCTCCTTTATATTTAGGATTGGTACGACATTTTACTTTTTTTTTTTCTTTTATTTCACTTTCTCAGTGTACCACCACCGAGGTCATACCGAGATCATAATATAATATGTCGGCCAGTGTAAGCCGACATAAACCCCGAGATCAACGAAACTGATATCTCAATATATAAACAACATCAAATATATGACACGTGCCAATAGCGATCAACCTAACCATAGTTAACTCACCTCGGACAACTGCTACAGTGGTTACATCGGAAAACTGCACAACCCAGGTAAAGGATAAGTATGAGAATACACAATGGTTGATGACTAACTTGATCGTCATAGTCCTTTTTGCAGGTACGTCCAAGACGCCCGAGCAAGGAGACCGGAGAGAAGAAACTCAACCTGTTGATCGATTTCACACAACCTCGGTTGAACCCAACAGAGAAAATGTACTTACACGAATCAGGTCGTCTCCCTAACTCGGATAAGTCATCTTCTATGTTGGGTTCAACCGAGGATGTGTGAAATCGATAAACAGGGTGAGTTTCTTCTCTCCGGTCTCCTTGCTCGGGCGTCTCGGACGTACCTGCAAAAAGGACTCCGACGATCAAGTTAGTCATCAACCATTATGTATTCTCATACTTATCCTTTACCTGGGTTGTGCAGTTTTCCGATGTAACTGCTGTAGCAGTTGTCCGAGGTGAGTTAACTATGATTAGGTTGATCGCTATTGGCACGTGTCATATATTTGATGTTGTTTATATATTGAGATATCGGTTTCGTTGATCTCGGGGTTTATGTCGGCTTACACTGGCCGACATATTCTATTATGATCTCGGTATGACCAAAGGGTCGTGTTGTTTCAGTGCACGTGGTGGAAAAGTAATGGGTTGCAATAAATGGGTGTCAAATAGGAAACGACAGGCGCGTGGGGATGTGTGAGGTGTAGAGGAAACGCTTGGGTTTTGAAGGGATGTAAGAAGATTCGTGTAAGTATACTCAGTTTATTTTCTTTTCCTTCCCTTTCTTTTCTAAATGAGATAGAGCTTTATAAATGTCGAATACTTGTAATCAACACCTTAAAACTTTCTTTGACATCTTAAAAGAAAAAAAAAAAAAGTAGTTTAAATATATTGTTTTAAAACTAAAAACTATACATGTTAATTGGATCATACAGTAACCATTAATAAAACTAGTAACTCCGGAAATAGTTTTATGTACGTAAAAAAAAAAGATTAAAAAGAAGATAAAATGAGTCTTGAGCATGAAAAATAATAATATATCAATAATTAAATATTTTTTATTATTATAATAAAAATAGCATAATAATTATTTCAAATTATAGATCACAAAATGGGTTAGACTCAACAATCTGAAGTGTTGTGGACCTGACCAAGCCTGTGGAGATTTCATCCATGAATAGAGCATTTGCTGGTCCAACCAACATCTCTCCGGTAGTCACACGCTTCCTTTGTCCTCCAGATATCCCACGCAGCATTTCATCTCCCACCAAAGTATCGGCACATATATCCAACCCCAAAATCTGCCACATTAATAAGTTAAATAATTCAATAACTTGGCTTTCATAACAAACTTTCGCGCATATCATATGACACAATTGATCTGAACCTTGTTTAAGCATTACCTTCAGTGTATAATCTGTTACTATGCTTGTCTCCTGGCCTTCAGCTGCAGATGCCTGTTGTATCAAAAGATAATCAGAGATAGTATATTGATATTTTTTTTTTTGTTTTATTATTTTACTGAAATAAAGATTAATAAGAGCTTTTTCTTCTCACCTTCATGTAGACATCAAGATCTGGGTCAGGCTTGATATTTGCTGCTTTCTCTCTTCTAGACAACTCAGATAGCATGTCTGTGAATGCAAAAAAATTATGAGTAGTTGATAACCTACATTTTGTAGTAGTTTAGGGGTAATTATGTGGTATCTTTATGCCTTTGAGTTTAGTTTGTGTTCATGTTTGTTAAGTTTTCAATAAAAGCTTGGTTTATTTAGGATTTTCTAGCTTATACCTTTTATGCTTGATCTTCGGGTTGTTTACTTGTGGTTTATATGAACTTTGTTGAAGTTCTGATCAAGCAATGGAGATGTCCCAAGAGTAATTTTATGTGTTAAGGATCATTTGGGTTAAAGTTTAGCGTTTTGGAGGTCTTGTGGGGGCCAAAAAAACTTGTTGGAAGTACTAGAAACTTTTCACACCTGTGCAAGCAAATCACACTCCTATTGCGAATTTTTAATTGCTGAATTTTGAAGATGCGCGAGTTGCATACCTATGGGAGGAATCCATACACTTGTGCATCTTTCCCTGTGAAATTAACTCCAATTTTCTGTTGTTTTCTTTTTGGCTTAAAACCTTATTTGCCCATAACTTTAAATAGAGATCTTCTTTAGCTTAGGGTTTCGAACATTTTGAAGCATATAAAGCAAAGAGATCGAGACATTGGGTGACAACTTTGATACTTAGGGTTTCATCTTCTTTTTCAATTGTTTTTTTAACATTATCTATCTATTTATATACTTAAAATTAACACTATCTATTTATTTATTTTTTTATAAAAAATAAATTATATTCTATTACATTGATACATTATAAAATTAATTTTATATGTTATTATGTCAACATATTTATTTATGTAATAAATTCTCTAATCATATTTTTTTTTATTTTTTATATAGTACATCTTTTCAACATTTTATTTAATCTAATTCTTATTTTTTTATTGTTTAATTTTTATTTACAAATAAAAGTTGAATTACATTCTATTACAAACAATAAAAACATTTTTTTTGTCAAAACTATAATGTGTGATAATTTAAAATTACGTTTAATATGTTCCTATATGAATTAATGATTTTATTAATTAAGAGATTATATTTTGTTAAATTTTCAGTTACAAATAAATTAATTTTATAAATGACAAGCATCATGACCAGATGATACAAGACGATAGACGAAAGGCCAACACAAGCATCCAACAAGCCAAATCAAGATCAAGACAAAAGCACGTCAAGCACAACCTAAAGCGAAACATAAAGACTCAGACGAAGGTAAAAACTATACATGTTAATTGGATCATACAGTAACCATTAATAAAACTAGTAACTCCGGAAATAGTTTTATGTACGTAATATGACTTAACGACTTCAATTCATTTAAATTTTCAATATAAACAATTTAAGGAAAAACATGAATATTAATTATTGTTTATTTTTATAACAATATTACTAGAAAAAAAATTTATGGTAAAAAAATTTAATTGATCACTTTAAGTAAAATTTGTTTTTTCAATTATATTTTTGTTTATCTATAAGATTCGTATCTTGAAAAAATTTATAAGTAAATCGAGTTCAATTCTACTCAAATCAACATTTTGATGAACGGTAGTATTAATTAGAATATTTATTAAGGATGACAAACTGAACTTCAATCTATCAATAAGCTCAAAGTTGATGGGTTGAATTAAACATCGTAACCTCTTTATCCACCTCACTTAATCTATCAACTTATGAAGCAAAATAGCGATTGACTTGTTGGCCTACCTATTATTTATTTTATTTTAGTATCAAGTTTAAATAAGTCACACTAAATTTATTATATAAATAATTCGTAATTTGTTGTGGTACAAATATGTTGTATATTTAATTTATTTTATTATATATAATTTGAAATTTCTTATACAACAAATTTATTAAAAGAACCATTATTATTATTACTACATATTTATTTTATTATATAATAAATTTAATATTTGTTGTGTAGAAAATCAAATCAATTCTGTTATAATTTATATGAATTTTTTAAATATTAAGATACAAATATGTAAAAAAAAAATCCAAAATAAAAATATACTTTTTTTCTTCTTTCCAATTTTTCTTTAAAAAAATTGACTACCCACCAACCTACCTTTAGTGAAGATAAGTTACAGCGTCCAGTCCGATTTTATTTGGCGGATGGGTTTGATCCGATCTCATTTTTTAGCAGTATAATAGTAGAGGAACCGTACTAAAGCGCTTTGTGATCCTAATATTTGTATTAGTAAAAGCTCAGGGATTCGAATCTTGCCTTGTGTATGCAGCCGCGTTAAATCTTGGGACCAGCTATCCCATTCTTTGAAGTGTCTCCAACGTAGCGAGGAGATTAGTCACTGCTGCCGGCGGTGAATACTTCAGGGACGAATAAAAAGAAATAAAAATAGCAATGATGTATTATTAGTGTAATTTTGAATGCATCCTAAGCACGATATTTATTAAAAGCGTTTTTACTATTGGGCAACGTCCTGGAGAAGTTTGGTGAATTAAATATCAAAGTGAGTTTGATTGATTGAAACTTGGAAGTGAACACATGAGGTCCAAGAGGAGTAATAAGATTGATGAAGGATTTAATAGAGGTTTTGACTATAATGGCCCAAGTGATGAAAATGAAATGAAAGAAATAGAATGAGAAGTGAGAAGTAGTCTGCACTAGAAAACTAGGTACTACGTTGCAATAGATAGTGCACTTGACTAACACCACTTCCATACCACCCACATTCAACATTTCATAATGGGTCCCCCAATCTACCTAGTCTTCCGTGTTCCACACTTTCCAGTTTCCACTACTCTCTCATTAATTCGTTTTCAAATTGCCGCAGTACTCTATTCTTTTATGCAAACATAACAATACAAACCATGTTAATTAAAATCAGAATGACAACATTTTCCACTTTCATTAATTACTGTTGCAATTTCTTTTGGTTGGTCACGTGTATACATCCTCGTTACCCCATTAGACTAGACTAGATTCGCAACGCAACACACATGATCTTTCATTTCAAAATGAAAATATATGTATGGACTTTATTTTTGTTAAAGCGGTATAAACAGGGTATAAAATTTAGCTTTAGCTGCTCTGGATAGGGGAAGAACACTCTATATTTGCTGTGTTGCGAAAGGCAAGATAATTGATTTGGCATAAAAATCAAAGACGAAGAAAATGAGTGTCAATTCATGAGATGCGAAGAAGGGGCAAATGAAAATATATGGACTTTATCATAGGATAATCTTTTTTATACGCCACTTTACAGTTTACATTAACACAACTGCACAAATTCCAAACTTTATGCTCTTTCTTATTCTTATTAAAAAATAAAATAAATTTTAATATATAAAGGAGATACTAATATATAAAAGAGATAGTTACTTTTAATAATTTTTTTTATTTTTTATTTTTAAGTAAATTATTTTATTTTTATTTATTTTTTAATAATTATTTTTTTATGAGTAACTTTTTTTTTTATTTTTTTATTTTAAATACAATACAGGTACAAAATATCTTTTTTGTATTAATATAAATAAAGTAGATTTATATATGTTTGATTGCTATATTAATATTTAAAGAGGTATATATTTTTTAATAATCACCTTTTTCTGTTTATTATTATTTTTTTATTTTTAAAAATTAATTTTTTTTTTATCAAATTTAAAACTTTTAAATTAATGAATTAATTATAATATTAATTATATTAATATATTTTTATTATTTTATTTTATTTTTATTTTAATAATGACACGAAATATCTTGATCTTATTAATAAAAATATATATAGAAAATAATAAAATTTATTTTATAATTAATTTTTTATTATTTCAATGAATTATCAGCTTTCAAAATCGATTGACTTTTGCGTGATTTCTATACATTTTAATTTTTAATCGGCTTCATTAATACATTTGTAATCTTATGAGTTGTTTAGGGTTATTTATTTAATTAAAATATTTAAGTTAAGCCTTCATAAGTACAATTACATTACAGTTTTTTTAAAAATTATCCTATATTGTAGTCTTATATAAAATTTGATTTAAATTAATTATATATTAAAGTAGTATCCAGTTTGGGTCAAAACATGAAATTGCAACAAGTAATACTACTCAAATATTATCTACTCTTCCCATATTCATCAAGACAAGCAACATGCAACCACTACATAAAATCAAATATACTATTTCTTCTCCAAAACAACCTAAAATACTAAGAATAAGAAAACTTATGGATTTTGTCATTAAAGTTTTACAATTTTGTCCATTAATTTTTCAAATTTGGACATTTTTCATTTTATTTCAAAATTTTGTCACTTTAATAATTAATAATTAATGTAATATAATATATCACATCAACATTTATATGTTTCATCAATTTATGTCCCTTAATCAATATATCACATTCATGATTAATTAATGAAATTAGAGATTCAATTAATGAGATAGGTGTAAATTTTTTAAAATTCTGTGACAAAATATATAAATTTAATAGTTGAATATTAAAATTAGTACAAATATAAAACCTAGGGAACAAAATATGTTGCTAAACTTAAAAAATAGTTTATTATAAGACTTAAATGATATTTATAAAAAAATTTACCTCTAACCTCCATTGTTTCACAAATATATAATTTTAGTCCCAAATATAGTCCTTCTAACATTCCAAATGAAACAAAAAAAAATTGACATATTGATTTTTACTAATCATATTTTATGTTTATTTTTCATTCAACTAAGACAATTTCATTTTTAATTATGAGTACTGTTATGTTAATGTTAAAACTATTTCAATTAAGATTTTATTTTTAATTTTAATGGTAAATTAAAGATGTTTAATTTTAAAAATTAAAGAGTGAAAATTGTAATAAAAATAATGGGAAACAAAAATGATATATTTGTGAAACTGAAAAGAAAAAGAAAAAAAGAAGTTAATTTAATAATGATTTAATCTAGTGAGGCAAGTCTCCCTTTAATTTTGTGTTGAGGTGCGTAACTGGGGAAAAGTTTCCTAAACATGAAATTGACATTAAACCAACGAAAGGTGTGTTCCGTGAAGTCTAACCACCGTTTGACGCTTGAGTTACAGAGACAAAACCATCCTTCATTTGATTTTCCTCCTGGGCCTCATTCTGCGCCACATGAACTTATCCTTTGGCAACATAGGAAGGGCATTCTTGGCAAACCCAAAAAACGAAGCAACATCGTCCCATTGGCAATTGGCATACAACGAAGGGCATTTCCGGCATTCGCCACCGCTATCTGCCACGTGGACATACGCGTGGCAACTTTCCATTCTCTCTTCCTTGCTGTTAAATATGCCCATCCCTTCTGAGTCCTGACTTCTGATCCGCTCCTTATCCTGTCCTTCCTCACCGCTCCACGCGCAACACAAACAAACAAACATTAATCTTAATCTCTCTCGCCGCTGCCGGAGGTTACCAATGCTCCGCCCCTACACATGACGCCATACCGAACGACACTTGAGACTTGAGACTTGAGACTTGAGACTTGAGACTTCAGATACTCTACTTCTGTTGCTGCTGTTACAGTCATGCCTTTCACGATGAAGATTCAGCCAATTGATTTGCACGAGCCTCGGGAGGGGACTAGGCTTGAGCCGGTCAAGTCGGTGGTGAAGTCGCGCCTGAAGCGCCTCTTTGAGCGCCAATTCTCCGGCGTCCTTAGGAATCCGCCGCCGCCGGAGGAGCCGCATTTAGCTAAAGACGGCTCCGCTGATTTGGAACCGAATTCGGCGTGTTTAGCGAAAATGGTGCAGAATTTCCTGGAAGAGAATCACGAGAAAAACTCCGTTTCCGTCAAGTGTGCGCGTAACCGCTACAACAGCTTCGACGACAGCTCCGACGCCGAAACGCACGCGCTCGGTGGTTTCGGCGAGTCTAATTACTCTTTGTCCGGTGAAGCGCACGAAGTTCTCAAGGTATTTTGGATTTTTGATTGATCCGTGAGAGATTGCTCTGTAATTTGTTTTCGGCACTGGATAATACTTGTTTTTGTGATGTTGGATAGGGTTTGGTGGCGTGTGCCAGTGTCTATGAGAGGAATTTGCTAGCGGACACTGCTAAGATCATTGAGAAGAACAAGGCGACGTGCAGACGCAAAGACGATTGTTGTAGAAAGATCGTTACGGAAGGGTTGTTAGGTCTCGGATACGATGCTTCCGTCTGCAAATCTCGCTGGGAAAAATCAAGTTTCTGCCCCGCTGGTACGAAAGTTAGCAAAAGGGATTTTTCATTGTTCAAATAAACACAAAATTATAATTTAATTAATCTTCTGTTTTTGTATTTGTGCAGGGGAATACGAATACATTGATGTGATAATGGGAAAGGAGAGGGTGGTGGTCGACGTTGACTTCAGATCAGAATTCGAGATTGCTCGACCCACCAAGGCATACAAAGCGATCCTCCAAACCCTTCCTTGTGTATTCGTTGGCACGTGTGATCGGTTGCAGAGTATCGTTGCCATCGCGTCAGAGGCGGCTAAGCTGAGTCTGAAGAAGAAGGGCATGCACGTGCCGCCCTGGAGAAAAGTCGAATACGTGAGAGCGAAATGGCTCTCCCCTTACACCTGCTCGCGTGGAGTCAAGGAGGAAACCCAAGAGAAAAACCACTTTGTCATGGGAAATGGGGCTAACCAGTCTCAACCGTTGATGTTAACTGTGTGTGAGTGCGATGATGAAAAGTCTAAGTCAAAGCTCCTGGTTCAGAAGCCATCCGAGATGAAACCCAAGAGCTCACAATCCGGTTTGGCAGCTGTCTTCCATGAAAACCCCTGAAATTTTGATATATTATATATTTTTTTTTCTTTTATATTAAGTTTTAATTCTCTGGAGTGAGGATGGATTTAAAAAGGCTGTGTATGTAGTTGTGTAATTGCTCTATCCCCTTCTGCTTTTTATTGTAAGGGATGAGTTCTACTAATATGAATAAAGTAAAGGTGAAATATATTGTTAGTTAGATATTTGGGAGATTGCCAGAACCCCTTCTGCTTTTTATTGTAAGGGATGGGATTTATGATATGAATAAATTAAAGGTGAAATATATTGTATTCTTAGTTATTTAAGAGATTGTGAGAAGATGATTCTTTACGTATTAGATATTGTGGATTGCTTTCTTGTTTTCTTGGCTTGAATTATCTTCTGTTCCGATAAATCGTTTGAATTTGATTCGGTGTGTTGGGGAAGGGGGATTCGGGGGAGATAGATAATTTTTAAATTACTCCTCTGGTTGAAACTTGATTCTGATTCTGATTCTTTCCTTCAAGAAGAAGCAAGGACCTTGACAAACAAATCTGCTGGTGCGGTTGTGTGTATATGCCTTCAAACACACTGAAATATGAAGAGTATTTTGTAATCCAATTTTGGATCATTCAATTCTACACCCGCAAAAGCTTGCAACACTGGTTTGGGATGCTTTTTCTCTTTTTGTACTTGAGGAAATATGTCTCTGTCACAGGTTGCTTCTATATCGTCCATCAAATTTTGCAGAATCGTCCATCTCTGCAAAAATGACATGACCTATTGTTCACACTGACAAACATTGTGAACAAATTTGGCTCCGTTCATGCTGATTGTAAACTGTAAATAAACAGTGATAGCGTCAAACACTCGCACAGAAAACCGGGAATCATACATACTGTAGTGTTTCTTGGTTGCAATGAAAAAGTTGTCGGTCTGTGGAAACTTGTGTTCAATCCCTTCGGTCCTGTGCTGCACCTTTTATCGGTTTCTTTTTGAAATAGCCAGATTCATCCTTGTTCCAAATAAAATAATTATTACTATTGAATGACTCTTTTTATAAGTTTTTTTTTTAAAATTATTTCTTACATTAGTTATTTTTCCTATAATATTTTACTTAACAATTTTATGAAAAAAATGATAAATGTTAAAAATGAATGAGATAAACTTCTTCTTCTCTCTTATTAAGGATATAGAGAAACTGAGTAAATATAATTTTTAGATGATTAATAAATATTATTTTTTTTTGGTGTTGAAATTAATAAATATTAATTAATTAGGTAAAAAGTAATCGAGGGAAAAAGAAAATAATTAATTTTAACATGTTAATTTAAAAAAAAAAAAAGAGTAAATAAAATATTACTAACTAAATTAACCAACTTTTTAAAAAGATTATAAATTAATTAAAAGAGTCTTATTTATAAGAAAGAAAGTAGTAATATTTTTTTTTATAAGTATATATATATAGAAATATTTTTTTCATAGGTCTCAGTTTTTTCTTCTCCATTTTTTTTCCTCACTTTTTTTTCCCACTTTCATCAAGTCAAACAAAGCATTAGCGACCTTTTACCGTTTAAAGTTTAAATTGCTGTTTGCTTTTACTTCGTCGGCCCGTTTCTTCATTTTTAAACAAAACAAAGTATTTGCTGAGGCAACCTATTTTGTCGTTTTGGAGGCACCTAACTTAACTCTCAACATCCACGTACTGCCTCGGAAATTGCACTCTGCTACCACACTTTTATTGCATTTTTTTTTTACCACATGTATCCTATTTAAAGTAAGTATATCTTCTTTTTTTCTTTTTCTATTGTTTTAATATTTTGTTGTATATTTGGTATTATTTTTTCTTACTTATAATATTTACGTTTGAGATTTTGTTTAAGGAGGTTCTCGAGTCAACGACTTGTTTTCAAATTATTGATAAACTATAAGAGATAAAAATGGTTATTATCTTTGTTTCTACATACAAGATACTTTTCATGTTTTTACTTATTTTTTTTATGTGGTTCTATTCTAATTATCGGTTATATTAATTATATTTTCTTTTATAATATTTTATTTAATTAATAATTTTTTAATAAGATGATAATTGTTTAAAATTAATTGAATAAACTTTTTCTTTCTTTTACTAAAAATGAAGAAGATAAATGAATATATAAATAACACTCCCCTGACATTAATTAATTAAGAAATAAATAATTAAATGAAAAGAGTGGAGGTTAATTTAAGAGACATTAATAGTAATTTTAGAAAAAATAGTTTAATTTTTAATAAATTTAATATTTTAAACTAAATTAACTAACTTTTTTTAAAAAAATTGTAATTTAATTAAAAGAGTGTTATAATTTAGTACGAAGTTAATATTTATGAATAAGTAGCCGATATACTACTGATCTAATTTTTATTTTATTTTATTAACAAATCATTACACATGGTGTAATTGAATTTCGTCTACTTGAGTAAAATTTAAATTAAATATAAAGTTTAAAAAAAAAGTAATTTGAAAAGGATATGCCCTTAAGAAGTAATGTGAGAAAAAAAATACGTTTAGAAAATGATAAAAATATTTAATTGAGGGAATATCACTCCAAAATGTTATCTATTCCAATTTATAATGTAAAATTAAATTAATTTCGTAATTAGTATAGTATTTTTAAATTTTATTATTTTTTGTTTGAAATTAACTTATTAAAAATATTCTACCAAGTGCGTTTTTTTTAATTATTTCTGAACAGAAAAGCCCGAAGCCCATACCAAGTACAACTATTCTAAATACACTTTTGACAAGGTATTGTTCAGAAGAACTAATGATTCAATGTCAATCCTGGGCCTATCAGAAACGAAAAATATAGGTTTTTCATACATAAATATTTTATATATAAATATTTACAATAAATGATATAGTTAAAGTTTTATTTATTATTTAGTCCCTGAACTTTTAGAAAGTTTTAATTAGATTTCTAAACTTAAAAAATTGTAATAAAGTCTATTATTTTTTGCATATTTTTATAATTTAGTTTCTAATGTTAGAGATATGTTTATTATTTAAAAATTTGACAAAATATTCTTTGTACCTTCATACTTAGATAGTTATAGTAACTAAATTATTATTTTATTTCATCATTCATGTGTTTGAGTTTTAATTTTTTATCTGTGAAAATTTTTTACTATTTCAAAATTCTTATGATTAAGGAAATTATATTGATTTTCATTACTAGATTATAATTTGTTACACATGGATGATGATCCATAGAATACTAAACAAATATGGTTGTGCATGTATGATATATATATATATATAT